AAAAAAAACCCCACTAACATTCTTTACATTTAATCTTACATTCTTACATTCTTTAGAATGTAAGATTAGAGCATCAGTTGATAAGAAAACCACAGCCCATTGTTACCATAAACAACTAAAGACTTGTTCACTTTTCTCCTTTTTACATACTGAACCCCAAGAAGAGGGGCAAACACAGAAAGAGCAACAGACAGCAAACCAGAAGGGCAAATACACACACCCAAACGCATGCAGTGTACCATCGTCTCCCATACTTGTTGCAGAAGAGGGGGTGTTGCAACTCAGTAACCAGTCTGCTGTATTTAAAACAGTCATGTTGTCCCCTGAGAACAGGAACAGTATAAGAGTTCATTGTCTGAACGCCTGCTCAGTGTACATGAGTAATCTTCAATGTCTGTGCTGGTTTCTGACCTTTAGCTAAATTAGCACTGCACTGTATGACTTCTGCACTTTAGTGTACCCAGATCTGTTTTAGTTCAGTAAATATTGTACAGGACGATTTGTGAACTTCAAAGTCTGATTTCAGAGGATTTTTCAATTTTATTAGTATCCTATTTCAAGTTTAAATGTAAATGTTCGTACTCTAGTCATCGCTAAATATTCTTATATATTTGCAATCCCATAATTAATTAGCTGAAATTACAGATGCATGTTTAGAGACAAATAAACACTATAAACAAGGAGAATGTTAATCTACAAAGGGTTTGGTATAAAACATTATTAAGTACAGGTAAGTTGCAATGCACACAACTTGACAAAGAACAATTTAGACTGCACAGTTATATTAAATGGGAAGAAGTGTAGCAATTTTATAGATATTTATTCAAAATTTAAAAGAAAATATGATGTGGCAAATGCTGATATCTGATAATAAGAATAGTTTACAAACTAAACCAAAATTCATATAAATTTTACTTTATTAATGAGACTAGATTTACAAGATATTAAAATGGTTGTGAATAATTGAAATGCAACTTATATTTATGAGAGTGTATGTATGTATATAGTCAATATATACATATGCTAGTACAAGAATTGGATCATATGTTCTGACAAGTTGAATACATTCTATAAAAAAATTATGTTTAAAAAAACAGGATTTTAGACAGACTAGCTGTTGTTGTGGAATAATTATGGCCTAATGAAATGAGAAAGTATCTAGAAAAAATACAAATAAACACTATAAACAAGGAAATTGTAAAAATACAATCATTTTTTAAAGAAGTGCTAAGTATTATGGTATTATTCTCTTTGAAAAGAAAATACAGCAGATATGCATATTTTTGTATTTCCAAGATCATTTTTAAGAAAAAAAACATTCTCTATGAAAAATTTTGGGTAATCTCTTTTAAATCAAAATAAAACACAAAAGTGGCATAAGTGGTGTGTGTGTCTGTGTGTGTGTCTGTGTGTATTTGTACTAACAGAGTTCAAATCTTTTGATAAAAACTTTTAAATTATTTGGAATATTTATAAGGAATAAGTGAAAACACAAAAAGAAAACCTTCTGTAGGCCTTCAAAATGTTGCTCAGGACTATCTGTTCTCTTTGAATGTTTCCACTATGGAGGAAGAACATATATTTCAAGAAAATCAACAGAATGATAAATAATATACTAACTCTATATTCCTAGGATATAATGCTGAACTGATACTGATAATAAGATAATCATTTATTAGCGGAATCCTAATGTAAAATTAAAGCAAACAATGAGATATGATTCTGGGTATCTCTGGGGTGATACACTTACCTCCAGTTCCATTTGTAGTGACTGATGTGCTACTGAGATTGGATTTATCCAGTTTGGAGCTACCAGCAGTATCACTAGGTCCAACAAGAGTATGAGGACTTGCTAGGTCCTGCATTTCCATAGACCTGTTGGAGCAGGAAGCAACAGAGCAAAAGTTGAAACTTCAAAAATTATTTTTTACTAAATTATATACATGATTCCATTTAGTACATGTGTGATCTCACAATAAATAAAGCCAATAGCTGAAACCTCTTTGTTAACCAGGTGAATATACAGTCTATTAAAAATAAATAAATGAATAAGAAAAGCTTCCACAGTGATTTAGTTCTCATAATTTGATTGTTATTTGTAATCCTAGAAGTATTCCACATTATGAAGAAAAAAAGCAGACTCTTTCATCTTAGCAGTTGATATGAACATCTACCTTCCTAAATTGTTCACCTGTGATATAAATATGAAGAAACAGTGAAAACAGTCAATTCCCATAATTTGGCATACCCTGTCACCATTGAGGAAGAATTCAGTAACCAGAAATAAACTGGGAACTCAAAACCAGAACAGAAGCTTCTAGCTAACCTCGTTGACCTAGGTGGCTGAAAAATGAGCCAAAGGCCTGAGAGCTGGAGTTGTAACACTTCTAATATCCATCCAGGAACAGGAAACTTTGA